ATTTTCTGATAAATTTATTTTTAAAGATCCAATTATAAGTGGACTTACACAGTTCAAACCCATGTTTTTCAAGGGTCGACTATATATTCACTTCTCTGTAAATGCATAAATCTCTACCCAAGACACTGATAACATCTGCATAAAGGAACAGAGTACCAGAAGACAAAACAGAAGGGAAATCTTTCTCTTTTTATATCCTCTCATGCCTTTTGAATTTTAAACCATGTGAACTTATTAAATACTCAGAAACATTAAAAATATTAAAATAAATCTTAAAATTAAAAAAAAGGGGGGAAAGGGATGGCTGGTTAGCTTAGTTGGTTAGGGTGCAACACCAAGGTCAAGGGTTTGGTTCCTGGGCCAGCCACCAGAAAAAAAACAAAAGACCTTAGTTTGCTGTCACATTCCCCAGTTCCCCAGCCTGGATCCTCAGCCCTTACTCCTCTCTGTCTCCTTGCAGCCATCCTTCCCTGGACCTGGCCCCTAGGTAGGCTGCTCTGTTCCCTGAAAGCTAAGCCTTGCTAGAAAAAATGACCAGATCATTGTGATATATATTGTATCACTGTTACAAATAACTGCTACCCATCCCTGTGGGAGGACTATATAGATTGTCACCCTGCTGCTATCAGGCCTGGCTATGTAACTTGCTTTGTGAAAACCAATAAAATGTGAACAGAAGGACCACTTCTGGTCAGAAGTTCTAAGAGCCAGCTCATGATTCTATCATCTACCACAAGATCTGCAAGTCCCACCTGAGAGCTACGCAGTCAGCCTTGGTCCCAGTGATGACATGCAGCAGCCTCAAAGCCAAGCCAAAATGACCACATAGTATGAGCAAGAAATAACCTTTTGTGTTTTTAAGCCACTGAGATTTTCAGGTTCTATGTTACCATAACGTAGTTTATACTAGTTTACTAAATAAGCATACACACCAATTCCAAAACAAACTAAAATTATCGAATATCATGTGACCTTTTACTCTGCTCTGTATTCACCAACTTCACTACTCTCTGCACTGTCCTCACCTGGAAAATGAAGATAATAATAGTACCTACCTCACAGGGTTACTGAGGACTAAACAGATCAACATATGTAAAATGCTAGTTTACAATATATATAAAGTGCACTTACTATTGTTAATATTGTATTACAATATTTACTTATTATTATTATTAATCTCTAATTGATAATCACTCAGTAATTTAACCTGGCCCTTCTCCTGAGTTTCTCTGTGAGCAACAAGTAACTTATTGGGCTCTTGATACCAGCTGCACATACTTTTTCCTCAGGCCACCATTCCCTCTGCTGTCTGCATTTCAAATTGTCCTTTCTCTACTAGGTCTTTTCCCTCTGCCTACCTTGCCCTAGCTGCACATTACATGACCAACCTGGGGAACTTTTTAAAAATACCTATGTCCAAGTCCTAACCTAAACTCAGTTCAGAATTGGGGTAGGGAAGCAGACAAAGGAATTGAAAACCATACAGAAATGTCAGCATGTCACAAGTCTGGACCAGGCAGACTTCAACATGTTCAAAAAAGCAGGATTTTCATCGCCTTCCCATGACAATCTCTTAATCATAAAACCCTACCACTGGACTCACTCTCCCTAACATGAACCACCCAGGATCAAATCAGGTCTCCTGCTCCCCAACCGCTCCACAGGCTGAAAGCACCACCCACCTACCTCTCTAGAAACCTCGCTCCTCTTCAGCTTTCTCTGACCATGGACAGTCTCCTGTTTCCTTTCTTTCTCTCCAGCTGCCATTCTGTCTCCTTTCTGCTCCTGACTCCTAAATGTTGATGCTCCCAGGGCTTTGTCCTTGATTCTCCTCTCAACTCCTTCTGTTCCCTTTCACTCCTGCACATGTCATGAGTATGTGCACACTCCCCAAGTCCATACCCTCTAAGTCTGACCTCTGCCAAACTTCAGACTCCAAGTCCAATTTTCCTGTGAATAATATCATCAAAGACCATCAATGATACAGGAAAAAATAAGTCTGTTTAAAATCAGACCCGGGCCAGCCCATGGCCCACTCAGGAGAGTGTGGTGCTGAGAACACCAGGGCCCTGGGTTCAGATCCCTATATAGGGATGGCCGGTTCGCTCACTGGCTGAGTGTGGTGCTGACAACACCAAGTCAAGGGTTAAGATCCCCTTACCAGTCATCTTTTAAAAAAATTAAATAATAAAAATAAATGAATAAATAAATAAATAAATCAGAGCTGATCAGTTAGTTCACTTGGTTAGAGCATGGTGCTAACAACACCAAGGTCAAAGATTAAGATCCCCTTAATGGCCACTGCCAAAAAGCATACAATAACAAATAAAATAAATAAATAAAATAAAAAACACATCAATCTCCCCAAAAAAACAATCTTTACTTTTCTATCGCAATTAACACTACCACTATTCTCCAAAGCAGCAAGGGGTGGTTAGTCAGTGTCCACCTTTGTTCCTCCCCCTTTGTCATCACAAATATCCATCCAGTTTCTAATTTCTATAGACCCTAACTCTAATATTGCTCTCATTCCTATCCTTCCCAGATTAGCCCACTACAACCTCTTGGTCAAGGGCCCCATTACACCTCCCTTCTCCTTACCACAACAGCCTTCCATGGCCTGCCTCCTCTAGTCTCCAAGTCATCTTGCATCTGAATTTAAATAAACCTACCTAAAGCTCAGCTCATCATGTCATTTGCTTGCTCACAAACTCTACAAGGACACAATCACGTTGAAAATCTGATAGACATTATTTACTAAAGTTGAATGTATTACCCAGCAATGCTACTCTTAGGTATAGACCAGCAGGAATGTGCACATACTCATATGTTCACCAAAGACAAGCACAGGAATGTTCACGACAGCACTAGTCATAACTAAAAACTGGAAACAACTCAAACATCAATCAACAGTAGGATAGAGAAATAAACCATGGAATATTCATACCATGGAATACTATATACCAGGGGTTAGCAAACTTTTTCTGTAAAGAACCAAATAGTAAACTTTTAGTCTTAG